GGGGGGGACAACATGTGTTAATCTAACTATGGAGAAGGGGCTACCAAGGGCAAAAGTTGGGGTGAAGCAGAAAGCAAAGAGCTATCTGACCCCCCAGATTGATTTTCCCTGCTGTAGCAATAGAAAGAGAACACATTTAAAGCAAACCTCCAATAATTAGATTCTATACCTAGAAATTATAACAAATTTATAAATTTTCCATATATAGAATCTATTATTGGGGGTCTTCTTATAAGCAGGGGTCATCTTCTATTTGACTAAATATGGTATCCAAAAAAAGTAGGCAACACTTGATTCTACATATTCACCATTACAGAGAAGAAATCCAGCCAGATGACTACAACATGTGACAACTAAATGTAGCACAGCAGGAGTAGAAAATAACATCATTATTACTGGGCATTGCAAACAATGCTGCACGTGAATCAGCAGTTAAGAAAGGCACGTGCTTGATTTAATTCAGGGAGAGAATTAAGAAATAGAAACTACACTGCAGGCAGTATATACTGTATTTTACATACTTAAAAGATGATGCAGTTTAAAAGCATCAGACTCTTGCCTGGCTGCTATAAATAGCAGTTCAGCTCTCGGGGGATACTTTCAAGGAGAACAATAAATCCATAATATCCCAGGGAGAGGAATAGGAAACAAACACGATGACCTAACTTTGCTATAGTTAAACTGACTCTATATGCTCAGCCTTATACAAGTTAAAGGGCACTAACTTAAAACGTAGATGGGCACCATGTCTGAAAAATCAACCCTTCTTTAAAACATCCTAAAATTGGGCACCCAAAATCACTTATGACTTAAAAATAATTCAGGCTAACACTCATGTGGGACCAGAAGAATTCTAAGGCCAGATACAGACATTACACTTTCTATGTTAGGTGGTCAGAACTGGTCTATACCCATAATAGAACAGAAGTTCAGGGAATATAGACTGCTTTAAAAATGGCATACCCCAGTCTAAGGTAGACTAGGATTGATGTAGTATCAGACCTACTAAGTCTAGGTTATAGCAGTTTACTGAACATCAGTGCCAGGTCTGCTCATAAATCAAAGCAGCTTGACTGTCTGCTGGTATCCCAGGGGACTTTGCAAGTGCCCACTAGCCTCCCCCTGCCTCTTTGCAGGGAGCTGCAGCTCAACTGCTGCAGTGGAGTGCCTAGCCAGCCAGCAAGCAGGAGCAAGCATACCTTCCTCCACTGGCTGCCTTCAGCTGAGAGCTGCCTGACAGATGACAGGCCATGGGGAGAGGTATATGCCTGACAGCCAATGAGGGATGGTCCCCACTCAGATGCACTTGCCTTCCTTTGGTAATGTCCAGCATGCTGGGAGGTGTGCAGGAGCACCCCCAGCCTTCTGGCCTCAGCCACTACAGGCATCTATCTGCCTGCCTTCCCACACCGAAGGGTAAATGCGAGTTTTGTTCACTTCTGATCCAATCTATGCAGTTTAGAGATATCTGTATAGATCAGATTGATTCCACCTCAGGCTTTTTGAATGTGTGAGCAGTTCTACAGAAGACAATAACAATTACTCCTTGTAGAGACTGGGAACACTCTAAAGAGCATGCAGGCTGAGAGATTCTGAGGTTGTATAAATTTTTAGGCCAGCAAGAATGGAGAGAGAGATGCAGATAAAAGAAAAATAATGAAAGGAGGAGGAAATAACTACCAAGATCTGTGCCGTTTCTCACTTTCTGAATTTTGCATGTTTTAAGCCTCTTGCTTAAAAATCTTTTTGCTCTTGTTCAAAAGTTCACCTGTGCAAAATGAATTGCAGGATTAAGGTCTTCAGATTATGAGCTCTTCAGGAAAGGGATTGATTACTACGTCCTTCACTTGTACAGCTCCCAGGACAAATAGATTTCATAGACATTAGGGCTGGAAGGGACCTCAGAAGATCGAGTCCAGCCCCCTGCCTGTGGGCAGGAAGTCAGCTGGGGTCATAGGATCCCAGCAAGATAAGCATTCAAATTTCTCTTGAAGGTGTTCAATGTGGGTGCTTGAACCACCTCCGATGGCAGGCTATTCCAGACGTTGGGGGCTCAGACAGTAAAGAAATTCTTCCTTATGTCCAGCCTGAAACGGTCTTGTAGTAGTTTATAACCGTTCGACCTTGTCATCCCTTGGGGTGCTCTGGTGAACAAACGTTCCCCCAGATCCTGGTGAACACCCCTGATAAACTTATAGGTGTCCATCAGATCACCCCTGAGCCTGCACTTTTCCAGGCTAAAGAGCCTCATAGCTCTCAGCCTGTCATCGTAAGGTCCATTTTCCTGACTTCTGATCATGCGCGTGGCTCTTCTCTGGACTCTCTCAAGCTTCTCCACATCTTTTTGAATTGTGGAGCCCAAAACTGGATGCAGTACT